CCCCCCCCAATCCCCAAATCCTCAAATGTTTCTCAGCGGATTTGGGCTGTACACAGCAAGCACAGAACAGCCCCCAACTCGGATTTGAAAAACAATCAGTGGATACCATTGGATGGCTGTTTTCAGACTGGTCAGCAGACCACCGACTGGTCGAGCCTACTGGTGGGCTGCAAAACAGTCGGGGTCAGCGGTCGGCAGGTATGCAACCCTGCTGGGCTGGTGGTTGTTTGTATGCTCTCTCGCGCTCTTAGGGGCTCTTCATCAATGGTTTCCGGTCCATTGTGTCCCTGTAGCCCGTATATTCCATTCTAGTATGCTGCCCTGAACCATGGTGACGAACAATGGAAGACATATAGGTAGTCAAAAAGTTGGTGAACTTACTGTGACTCGTGCCAGAATTTCAAATCAGAATCGCATTGTGATACTCTTAGAACTAGAGGTAGTATGCTTTTTTAGATGTCTTATTCATTTGGTGCTTCCAAAATTCAAGGACTTCGAGGGCTTAAACTGCCCCAGTGCAGGGATTCAGTCTTATGCAGAAATCTTTCATCGGCTTCAAAAATTTTGGAAGCTCGGGGCTACTGGAGCACAATGGCTGGCGGCACAGGGTGAAAAAGAGTTCGTCTCCATCGTCTCCATCGTCTCCATCGTCTCCAACAAATATTTTGGAGGCTCCGGGCTTCTGGACCACAATGCCTCAGCACCAGGCAAAGAAGAAAAAAGTGCGCCTCTGATGGTTCGTCAAAGCTTGGTGGGCAATGGAAGGTTGCCCGGTCCAGGTGTACTGGTGGCTTAAACCACCAGTCCATTGGACCCTAAATTGACGAACCAAAATATGCTTTCTGCCAAGCCTGTGGTCTTTACAGTGCATGCCTTTGTTATCTTTGAGGGAGGTACCGACACCAGCCTACCTTTTGAAACTGACCTGCTGTACCTTGTACCAACAGGTGGCATCAAAAATACAGGACCCCCCCCCAAAAAAAATAAAATAATAAATAAATAAAAAAAGATTAGCAGCTGAATCGAGATCAGTAATGTCCAGGAAGGCCTTTACTGAGGGCATACTCACACGAGTACTTTCCGGAATGTATCGGACAGATTCTGACCACACTATGATGGTCAAACCTCTGTTGTTGTTGTTGATGTTGTTGTTTTTCTTTGCTTTCTTAGTGCCTTGCTAGTGAGGCAGGGTGTATTCCACATTCTCAGGCAGGCTCTCACTAAGGGCGTGCTCACGCTAGTACTTTCCAGAAAGTATTTGGCTACTATCACAGCCAAGTGTTTGATTGTTTTTGTTCTTCTTTTGCTTCTTTCTTTGCAGCTGAGCCCATCTTGTTTTTCTTTTTTCTTGTTTTCCCGATTTCAATTTCAGGAGAAGTTTTTGGGCTCACCAGCCTTTGCCCTCTGAACATTAGCCTTTCGTGATCGCCGACGATTCGCCGTAGATTTCGGTACGGTATTTTACTATTTGTATATGGCAAAAATGTACAGTACAGGGTGCAATTGTGGGATCCCCCCATCCTATTTGTACAAACCGAAAAAAAGTAGACCCCAGCCCTGCCCACCAACTCCTGCCTGGGTCACAGCCACTTTGATGGAAATATTGGGGCAAATATTTTTTTGTGCTATATGTAGTATGTATGCGGAAAAATAAACTGCACAATTTTTGCCCCAGGGTCGAACCGGAATTCTTTATTTTTTGTTTTTGGCCCAGCGGGGCAAGTGGTCCCGGGCCACTCTGGTAACATGGCTTCGAAGTCCGAACCAATTTTGTTCATTTTTCAAATTTCGCTCTGATGTGGTGTACTTCCCTGATTTTTTTGGAAATTTTTGTTGCCTTAAATAAGAATTAAAAATCCCCAAAGCGGGCTTGGACTGGTAGTTTAAGCTAGAGGAGATTTGACAAGTGCCTACATTTCAGTTGGGCATAGAGGAGGTATACTATTGAGGAACATGATTGTGGAGGGGGAGTACGGTACCAATTTTGATTCATACAGGGTACGTTTGTGAATGAGGTGGCACATTAAGACAAATATGACGGTTGTGCAGGATTATCTCCAAAATGTGCCCGTCTTCCCGGGTCCAAACCACCTTGTCAGGAGCTTCTTTGAGGTCCTTTCTCCCTCTCAGAACTTGTCACTACTTCCCCAGACCAGCTCTCCTCCTCTGAGTGGTGATAGCTGACAATTTTTAGTTGCTGTTGCAGTTAGGATGTGTTGAGCATTCTGCATATCTTTGATCGCCTGCCGCAGTTATCAGTAGACTATGTCACGAGGTCATGGGAGGATTCTTCTGCTGCAGAGTGGGAGCCAAGAAGTTCATTGGGGTCCCTTGTCTCTGCTCAAGCTGGGACTCATTCGTTGATATTGATGTAGCTGACGAACATGCCTATACACATTCTACACCTAAGAAAGGTGCTGATCGAAGTTAATCTTGGTGGTCGGCTGTGCTCATGCTCAACTTTTTTTTTTGTGTGGCACCCCGATGGACCACGCACAACTTCTCTTTTTTTGGTGGTACCCCGATGGACCACGTATCAGATTTTGTACTGACCAGACTTCTATCTTAGCCAAGAGACCGAGAAAGGTATCGCTCTTGCTCAACTTCGGTCTTGCAGCTTGGTGAACTTCTGCCGAAGTGCTGTGGTGAATTGGGACCCCCGCTTGCAATGTCTGCAGGGAATCTTACTTCAGACAGCCAATGATCCCACTGCAACTTGGACGTTTCTTGTGTCACAGCACATTACCTCATGGGTATCAGCCTGATGACAGCAATAGTCTGGAGTTCTTGGCATTTCTCTACGGGAATCTACTCGTAAAGTACATAAGACAGACTGTCCGGGTGGATCTGGGAGAATTGGCCACCTGTGGTCTCAGAGAATCCCCCCTCATGGGTGCCAACCTGATAAACTTGGAGGAGTGTGTCAGTCTATAAAAGTTTGTTATTCTTGATGGCCAGGAATACACCTTTTAAGACCATAGAGGTGGACCTACTAGGATGACCCGGGATAGGCAGTGGCTTTAACAATCCCTATGATGACAGGCTGTGCAACTCTACGTGTACCCTGTGACAAATCTTTTGGGCGGTGTTCTTTGTCACTAGGAAAACGTGATCTGATCCATGTGGTTCCGTCTGCTTAAAAGGTGTATCCAGCCATCACTGTGAATACACCAGCTTGCCTCGTGCCACCATGCCGTCGAGATGAAAGGGATTCATGCCAGCACTATATGTTCCTCTTGATTGGATTCTGTGGTCGGTCAGCGGTTGTGTGTGTTTGGAAATGCAGAAATCTCTGTTGAGCTGCCAATCTGAGTGGGATATTAATGCTTACAATGCCCACATCTCTTTCTGATGTTGCTAGAGTTTCTGCGTTAAAGAAATGCATGTGGCTTTCTCCTTAGTGTCGCCCCTGGCTTCCCTAATACCAGCCCACTACTGTTTCCCTTGCGGCCACCGCAGCTGACCCAAATCTGTGAAAGTTGCCGAGCTTGACTGTGTAGGATTTTGCTCTCTCTCGGAGCTGGATGCCTCCAGAAGGGAAGTGTGAGTTTCGTTGCAGAGTTAAAGAGTGTTGGTGGTCTTTGTTCTGGTGTTACGTTTGGCAGGATGATGACCTTGATGACGACGAAGATGAGGAAGAGGTGTGAACACTGTCATCCCGAGCGTCGTAGTGTCTCTGATCCCCCTCTGTTTGCTTCCCCACATCTCTCTAGATCTGCTCATCGTCTCCCTGCTTCTATTCCTGCCCTGCTCCTATCGGCAATCTTGTTGTTCTCCTTCCTACCCATGCCGTTCCTCTTCCCACTTTGCCGTTTTTATTCATTCTCCTTTGTATGCTTATTCTGATTCTGTCTTTTCTTGGCACTACAATGAGGTGTGTCGTCTCAGTTCCTTATCTAGTTTGCTGTGTATGTCATAATGAGTGCTTTCATGTGTTTCAGACGTGCCTCTTTCCCATTTTGCTTCTCTGGACCGTCTTTTGTGACGGATGGTAAATTGTTGGCATTCACCCTGCTCCCTATCATGCCCCTCCTCTTGGCTGCGTTTCTTTTAGGTTGACCATAAATGGTGGTCCGTTGTGTTGTGGTGGGCATGGGTGTGGGCGCGCTCTATCCATGTTGTGTGTGGTGGGCTCACACTCTATCATTGCCTGTGTAGTTTTTCGTAGACGGTGTACTGTTTGTTTTTGGCACCTACTCATAAAGCGTATCCCTTTTTGGTGTTTCTCTCGCTGCGCGGGCACAGTGCCATTGGCTTTTCTCGATTTGTGTGTGCTATCCTTGCAAAGGGACCATGCTAATCTTCTCTGTATCGTTCCAATTTCAACGGATGATCCCAAGGGCTGGCCTTTCGTTTGGGACTGCAAATGAACACCTATTCCGTGCTCTTGTTTCCTTCTTTGTTCCATTCTGTGAGGAGATACGCACAGTGAACGATGCGAGGCAACATGGATTTCTCTCCACCTCACTTTGTAAAGGAGTCCGGTCGCCATGTAGATGGTGGTGCTTCTCCATGCCATCTGGCCATATTCTCTCTGCTATGCATGGAAAGTTGCATGATGGAGCTGCCATGTGCCAGTTTCTAGCCTGCAATGCCTGGTTGAGGGTTACTTCGTTCGCTGCTTGCAATGCGGAATTGACTACCAAGGGCAGTCTGTCCACACTTGAGATGCCTGTCCGAAGGTTCCTTCTGTTGGAAATGTTGGCCCCTCACAGATGTTGTAACTACCAATCAGCAAATGCAGGTTCAAAGGAGGAAAAGCTGAGTGTCTGCCAGCAGTTCTGGCCCTATTAAACCTCCAGTACATCCAGCTATCGGCCGTGAGCCCTTTTCCGAGGCTGCCCGCGGCCGAAATTTCGGTAGGCGACGAGTTTCCTTTAGTAAGGCTGGGGCCGTGTACTGGCGGTTTAATGTCTGTTAGACATTGGGAAAGAGCTTTCAACACCCGCTGAAGAGAGCTGGTGGAAGGCTGGGTCATTGTCTTCAGAGAGCCAAATAAATAGTTTTGAGTTTTTAGACTCTCACCATGTCCGTGATATTTAGAAAGAGATCGGTGCTACAAAGTGTGTGTATGTCATTGCTATTAGCTGTGGTCATCACATCATCACATGTAGAGTTACATGCGTCCCACACCTTGCATTGGCAGGGTGGTGGCACATGTGCCATGCGAAACGTTGTCTGATGCAAGTTCTCGACTGTCATCACACAGGTTTTCAGTGTGATCGATCTCGCATCCCATACTTTTGTATCAGACAGTTGTGTAACACATTCACTAATCATCATTATCAATCTATATATCGAATCGAACATCATCTGCATGCTGCATATCATCAGACACGGCAGTCTTGTCCATCTGCTCTTTTTCAAATAAGCAATCTGAATCTGTGTATGGTGATCCAGCCACCAAAGCTGAGTTGCTTTGACTTTTCCTGATCCCAACCAGTTTTCTTTAGGTCACTTTCTCTGACTCTTCTATTATCATTGATTCCATTTCTCTTCTCCTGCACATTTCCCCACATCCTTTTCCTCCATTTCCCCGCCCCTTCACTCTTGGTTGTTAGATTGAAAACTGGACTTGTTGTTCCTCTTTGCTTACTGCACGTCCTCTCCTACGTTTCTGGTGGACTCGTCACATCTTGTGGGATTGATCGCTCTCGGGGATGGTCTTGTTATCCTTCTCTTTCTGGGGTCATATTCTTGTCATTATGCCATGCACATGTGCACTCTTGCACAAAGTCATCCCAGGCATATTCTTGTCGTTACGCCATGCATATGTCCGCTCTTGCAACAAATTCATTCTTAATTCCTCATCGTGCGCATGCATGGATCACAACAGACGCGGATTTGGATTGTTCATTTTCGACTGTGGGACCCTCCTGTTCATTTCGGTTCTTGCAGAGAGTGTGGCATACGACGTCCTGTTGCCCCAGTTCCTTGTCAGTCACTGTTCACCTCAGTTAGCATGATGGCATCCTCTCTCTCCTCTTCGGAGTCATGTCCACCCTTCTGCAAGCTTGCTGTCATTTCCGGATTCACTGATCCGCTATGCTGGAGGCCTTCATGTCCACCCTGCTTGGTGTCGTTTCCGGATTCACTGATCCGCTATGCTGGAGGCCTTTGAAGGTCAATGCGGGGAAGGTAATTGTGATATGTGTGCTGCTTGGACCGTCTTTTTGGTAGGCGGCATGAAAGTCCATTCCTGATCGGAGGCATGTCCACACTTCCGCAAGCTTACTGTTGTTTGTGGATTCACGGAATTGCTCCGCTATGCCAAAGGCCTTTGAAATTATTGGTAGGCAGCATGAAAGTCCATTCCTGATTATGTGGAAGTTCGTCTTGTGGTGTTGTGAACTGGAAGTGATTTAGATGAAAGGCGCCACACTTATCAATGATTTGCCAGTCTGAGTCAAGAGTCATAAGTTTGGACTCTCTTTTGGAGTGATCCCCCGTTTTCTAGGTTCTGACGCAGTGCAGGGTCCAGTCCTGAGTTTGGACTCTCTTGTGGAGGGATCCCCATTTTCTAGGTTCATACTTCGAGGATTCCGTGGATCGAAAGGATTCTTGTGACTAGGCAGCATGAAAGTCCATTCCTGATTATGTGGAAGCTCATCTTGTGGTGTTGTGGACTGGGAAGTGATTTAGATGAAAGGATTTGCCTGTCAGAGTCCTAAGTTTGGACTCTCTTTGGAGTGATCTCCCTTTTTCTAGGTTCTGAGGCAGGGCAGAGTCCTGAGTTTGGACTCTTCTTGTGGAGAGATCCCCATTTCCTAGGTTCATAGATTCTGTGGATCGAACGGATTCCTGTGACTACTCGTCTCTCAAACTCTCGAGTTATTCGACCGATGCTCAAAATTAAACTTGATTGCAGAAGTGTTACTGGGCTGCCCGTTCACACCAAACAGGCTGCAACAAGTGGAACACAAATGGGTAAGTGGACATTGAGATCCAATAAGTGTCCATCAATATCCAAGCAGCTGTGAATGCAGCCGTCTCACCTCATTGCAGAACAAGCATATGTAAGCAGAGTTACACAGCCAAGTGCATGCTGAATGAGAACACACTGAAAATTGAAGCCTCTTGGCAAAGAAGCCCCACTTCTTGCCTCCAATAATCGACAGAACGACAATGTGGTAGCTCTACTGTGAAAACTGCCAGTTATCATCACACGTACTGCTTCCGCCTCCCCCCTCTACTATGATGTGTCCCCCTACGCTGTCACACTCCCGTTTCACACATTCTATGCTCTCGCCCCGGATGATTGTGAATAGTCTGATCCACTTGAGCTTTCCTTGGCCACCACAGGGTCGGTACTGCTAGTCCACGCTGCTACCCCTTATCCCCAATCCCATGGACTCAGTGACACCCTACTACCTCTGGCACATGCCAGCTATGGCTGCTTCTGTCTGAGCAGCTACCTGCAGCTGCTCTCCCTCGCAGAGCAATGGCAAGAAGCAGGCAGGGCTGATGTGTCAATGGCCTCAGCATCCTCTCTTTCTGCCTGGAGGTAGAGTTCGGGCCCCAGTAAGCATGCTGTACTGCCTACGGGGCTACAAACATGCTGCGCTCCCAAAAAAAATGAACTGGGATGGGCCTCATTTTGGGTGGTGCTGTTGCCATTTTGCCCCGGCGGGTCCGAGCCCCTAAAGTTGCGGCAGCATGGAAGCTGTGACTTGGAAAAGATGGCAGGGAGTACTGGTGGAGCTGTGGTGGTTCAATAGCCCCCTCTCATATTCGTGTCCCACTTGAGGTGCCGACTCAAGTAGTTCTTTTCTTGTAAACCACATGTTCCGCTGAATCCAGGTGATGTCTGAATGCCACTACCTGTAGGTATTGCATCTGTGGCTTCAGTGATGTGTGAATGCCAATCCGAATGTCTCAAAATGAGAACGAATTTTCCGCTAGAAAATGGGAAGACACACCGCCATATTTATTGTCTTTTGCGCATGTGGTGTGCAAGCCGTGCCTTGGAAAAAATGGCTGGGAAAAACACTGGTTGACCTGTGGTGGTTCAATAGCCCTCTCATACTCGTGAACCACTTGAGGTGCACACTCAAGTAGTTCTTCTCTTGTAAACCACAGATGTTCCGTTGGATCCAGGTGATGTCTGAATGCCACTTGCATCTGTGGCTTCAGTGATGTCTGATGCCACTTGCATCTGTGGCTTCAGTGATGTCTGAATACCACTCCGAAATGTCCAAAATGAGAACGAATTTTCGGCTAGAAAATGGGAAGATGCACTGCCATATTTTTGGTATTTTGTGCTCGTGGCGAGTAGTGGAGAAGGCCCTATGGCCACAACTGCACCCGTTGCGATGGTCCGTTTTTTTTGGGGGGGGGCAAGAAATCTTGTGCCAAAAAATGGGAACGTACACCGCGATATTTTGTCTTTTATGCTAGGTAGTGGACCCTGGCCCGTCGTGGCTTCTTGCCATCAAGTTGTATCCGAGCATTTGAACGACGCGACACGCCTTCGTCAAAAGAAAACATACCTAACCCTGGCCCATATGCATATTCGAGCTGTCGCTGAAAGCGCAACAACAGCGCGTCCCGAGATGTAAGCAAAATGTGACTACCTCGCCACCACACACTGGCCCGAGTATATGGAAGGGATGACGTGTGGAAATTAACGACTATGTACTGG